CGCCTTCCGCCCGGGCGCCGCGTGTCCCGCGACGGCCTGCGCCGTCCAGGCCCGCAGGAGCGCCCGGTCCTTAGCGAAGCGCCTGCCCGCGGCTCTCCGGGCTGTCCCTCTCTCGATGTCGGCTACGGACGCCAGCCGCGCCAAGCCCCGCCTCGCGTGGAACGTTCGCTCTGCGCAGTTGTAACCGCGGAGGGCGGCGCGGATTCCCTTCTTAGCTGCGTGCCCTCTCGGAGGGGAGGGGTCCGCATCCCGAAGGGTGCTTCCCTCACCCCGTCGTGTCTCCTCTACGCGCCTCCACCGATGAGGCCCATTGTGGCCAGGACAGAGATTTCCTCGGTTCACCTCAAGTAACCAGGGATGTTTGTTCCAGGCTGCACCTCTGCGTAAGGAAAAGTGGGATTTCTGTTGTGAGGCCCCCTCCCACCAGAAATGCACTTACACGCCACTGGTGCAGAAAAGGGCCGTTTATTCACTCCAGCTGGCCAGCGACCCTTGCCCAAGGAGCAACGAAGAGCGGCATGGGGCCTTGATCTTGTAGGGTTTTTAAAGGCAAAAACTACATCCCGTTGGCACACGGGTTTGTCCAGGTGCACAAAGCAAGCTAGGGAGCTAGGTCACAGAGGCCGGGAATGAGCCATTGGAGCAGTCACACATACGAGTTTTCATTGTGTATGGTTCCTGTTCCCATGTAATAATTCACTGTATATGGCTCCTGTTTCTATACAATTGTTTTTTGTTTCTATGAGAAGGTCAACGGTTTCTCATGCAGAAGGCGGGGGGTAGTCTGCAGGTCAGATGGGGCAAAATGGAGGTACTTAGATTAAGCAAGCAGTTCTACAGAAGCAGATAGAGTACGTTATGAGGGTAGGGAGCTCTATTTCATTTCAATGCAGAAATCACCTCAATCCATGAATAGCCAGCGCCCCAAGAAAAACCAGTAACTGGAACTACTGACCTCAGGGAGACTGGAACCTGAAACTCTTTCTGACCCCATGAGCTCTAGGAGTCAGTGGATGTTCAGACTAGTGCGTTTTCTCACTTATCTTCCCACAGTAAAGTGCCAATTTTCTAGCCAGTTCAAATTCCCAAGAGAGAAAATCTAATTAGCTTAATTGTGTCCCTGTTTGGGTACAAGCCACAATATCCAATTGTCCTTTCTCTAGTAGAATCCCCAACTTTTTAGGCTTCCCAGAGTAAAGATTCCATTTCTCATCATTTTTGCCTCTTGCCTGGGGGGCTGAGAGCAAAAGTGATTCTTACAGGAAAGAGAAGAACTTTCCTCTTGTCCCCACCTACCCCGACCAGAACACAGACAATAGGTCAAGCCAGCCTAACAGCCAGAGAGAGTCTCCCCACCCTTCCATCAGCAGGAGATGTGAGATAGTCAGGTTCCTTCAGAAGATGGTGTGTATGAAAGGCACCACCAGCTGACCTGTCTGGAATGCCAGGAAATACCTTTCTTGTTGCTAACCATCCCCATCACAGAAATCCCTTTTCCTTTGTTGCCAAATCAATTTTCAGTCTCGGTCCTTATTTCACTTTACCTATGGACAGCAGTTGATAAAACTTGACAACTCCCTGCTCCTGGAAAAACACTCTGGTTTTCTTCCTCCTTGACTGGTCACTCTTCAATCGCCTTAGGTATTTTTTTGTCTTCTCCCCAGCCTCTAAACCAGTGCTTCTCAAACTATCTGGATGAGAATCACCTGGAAGGCTTACTAAAACCCAATGCTGGACTCCACCCTCATTCGGGAGGTCTGGGGTGGGGCCTGAGACATTGCATTTCTAAAAAGTTCCCAGGAGAAGCTGAAGCTGCTTATCTGGAAATCAACTAAATGTTGCAGTTCCCCAGAGCTCAAACCTTGGGCCTCTCTTCTTTTTCTATCAACACTTAACTGCTTAGTTTAGTCTTACTCCTTATTCAGTCTAGATGCTCTAAATACTATGAAATGTGGCCAATTCCCAGTGTATATCTCCAGCCTGGCCTTCTTCCCTGGCTTTGAGCTGTCTCTTCAACCTCTTTGCTTGATGTTTAATAAATGTCTCTAATGTAGCACGTTTGAAACTGAACTTGTGCTGTTCCTCCTCCCCCACTGCCATCCGTCTTCCACCTGTAGTTTTCCTCACCTCAGTAATTGGCAACTCCATCCTTCTTGTTGCTCAGTTCAAACACCTTGTCATTCTTTTTATCTCACACACCACATCCAGTTCCTCAGCAAACCCTGTTGGCTGTACTCTCAAAATATATGCAGAATCTGGCCTCTTCTCACCACTAGCACCCTGACCCAAGTCGCCATCATCTTTTGCCTGGATCACTGCAAATGCCTCCTAACTAGTCCCACTCCTACTCTTACCCTGCACATTGTTTTCTCAGTACAGTGGCTACCCCATCTCAGTAAAAGCCAAATCCCTTACAGTGGCCCACAGGCCCTTCATAATGTGCACCATCCACTCCCACTGGTTCGCTGGTGTAATCTGTGACTTTCCCCTCACTTGTTCTGCTGCAGCTACATTAGCCTCCTTGTCGTTCTTCAATCAAGTGGAGCTTGCTTCCACCATGGAGACTCTGTGCTTGTTCCCTCTGCCTGGATAGCTTTCCCCTTAATGGCCACATGGCTTGCTCTCTCACCTCCTCCAAGCCTTGGTTCACCTTCTCTGTGAAGTTTTCTCTGATCACGTTACTTTTATTTTTCTCTGATAGCATTTCTCTCTTTCTAGTATATAATTATTTATTTTTATTTTTTAGATGTCCCCCAACACACATATAACAGAAACTAAGCTCTATGGGGCAAAAAGTATCCCCAGAGTATTTACGAGTACTTAGGTGATCAATAACTGAATGAGAGTATGCTCTTTTCTGTACTTTGCAGAGAAGGTAAAAGTGCCTGAAACTAATACTGTCCTCATTGCTTTTCTTAGATTTCATCCGTGTGCTTTTGGAAAACTTGGACTTCCTTCATAACCCTGCTTTTATTTATGTAGGCCCTACTTTAGAATAACGTGGCCCTGGACACTAGCATGCCCGCTCCCCTCTCCCCAGCAAAAAATTAGTGTCACACAACAGTAGAGTGGATTTGGAACACCTTGGAATAAAAACCCATCAGTCCCCAGTGAGTGCCCATTGTCTCTTACAGGTGGATTGTCCTTGAGTTCTTCTAAATTTAGTGAGGGCCACTATTTCCTTCTAGTCTGCCTTTGGGTTTGCCACAACATCCTGTCAGGAAAGCATCCCGGCCTTCCTTAAGAAGTTATAGTGCCATAAAAGGCCATTTACTTTGATGTGAAAGTTGATGTTGAGAGAAATGAATGAGGAATCTGTTAATCACCATGGAAGAGGGCAAAACCAAAATTAGAAAGAAAGGATTTGGGTGGCAAACAGGTGAAGGTTTGGGGGACATGAAATTCAACAGAAGAGAGAGGTGTTAATGGTCTCAGATAGTGAGAGAGGAAGTCAGACTTGAGACAGGAAATCAGGCTTGGAATGAAACAGCAAAGGGAGTAAATTGGGCATGTGCCTCATGCCTGGTCATGTTACCTTAGGCCTCTGGACAGACTCTCAGTTTTTGCCCCACCTCAGCTGTCAGAGCCTCTGAACACACAGCTGTTCAACTGCACCACTGCAGCTGGACAGTTACCTGCCTGAGGGTGTCAGGATCTCCCCCTTGCCTGCCACAGGCCGAACAGCTGCATGCCTCAGGTTTCTGGCTCCTTGCACCTCTTCCAGGCTTGTTCCAGTGCCACATGATGGGTTGTGGGATCAGACTTCCCTAGGGGTGGCTGGATAATGCAACCTGAAGGAGGGAATGTAAGGGAGACAGAGGGAGCTGGTCAGATAAATTTCTTCTTTCCTTCACCCATCAGTTGCTCCAAGGCATGGTTTCTCCACATAGAGATGTCTTTCAGAGCCAAATAGGTGCACTTGCTGGATAATTATCTCTCTTCTCAGCTTGTGAAGTAGAAGCCAACAGGACCACCTTGCTTTTCTTCCCATCCCTCCCTGCTACTTCCTTTTTCTCACTCTTGCTGCCCTAGGCTTAAGAGCACCAGCTAGGAGCATGGCCATCTCTGATCCCCTAGTCCCTCTAATGATAGCATTATTTCAAAGGGGACCTATGGGTCGGAGTGCTGATTCATGGAGCAGCCAGGACCGGTGGTTAGGACCAGGCAATGAAGGCAGAGGCACGGGCCTGGATCAATGAGGAGGAGCCTAAAGACAAGCCACTGGGAGAGGATGACAGAGGGTCTCTGGTCCTAGTACAAGGAATTTCAAGGAAGCAAAATGCCTTAGTGTCTTAGTGATGCTCAAGGAACATTAGTGTCAGTGGCCAGGTATTTAAAGAACTCTAATATAGGGCAGCAGGAATTCACACATAAAATTTCTGACCATTCATCAGAATGAAGGAGTCACGCTGATGGTAGAGGAGCTGGCACAG